GTTTTACCTTTCTGGGGTTGGTAAGTGTTATGGATAACTGAAAATTGCTTGCCATTTCGAAGCGATTTAATCCATTCTATATTGAGATCAGTTAAATCATTATCCATAACAATAATACGCCTTGCATCGTGAATTAACTTATATAAATTTTCTCGTGAACGTCCTGCTAAGCGAGTGTGGGCTTGGCTATTCACAGACACCGCCTCATCGAGCCATAAGTCATATGGTATTGGAAGGCATTTACATTTTTTCTCGCATTTACATTTATTAATAATGCGATGTAAACTTTCTATCTGACATACTACTCTTTGATAATCCGGGAGATTTATATCTTTAGTTTCAATATCGCAGTAAGATTTGAGATTAAGCCTTACAGTAACTGCACTAGAATACGTATGACGTGTAGATAGAGCGAGTAAATTTATAGCATCAGGTAATTCAAGATGTTCAAGGGCATAAGTTTTTCCAGTTTCCCAAGGAGACCCCACGTATACATCTCCCTCTTCAGGTAACTGTTTTATATATCGCTCTTCATATACTTCAGTGGCAGTGAGAGTGGACTTGCATTTGGCCCAAGCTGGCATTTCTAAGAAAGGCCATGGAAACTTTGGACCCTTCACCTTATGTGTATTGGGCAGTGGAATATTATTTCTATTTTTTTTCTGGATTTTTTCTGCAATAGATGGGTTATTGAAAATTTCCCCTGATTCATCACGATTTTGTTGAAAGCATTTCACAATGAATGTTCCATCATAACGCGCGCGACCGAACCACCGCTGATCCTTGTCGTGTAGGTGTTTACATTTTGGACATTCTAGATATGCTCTTCGGTTAAAATATACAAAATATTGAGAATTTTTTTCTTCAATATCCCAACTTCCAAGATAGTCAGAATACTTCTGCAAAACTAGATTCACATATTTTTTTAACTCATCGTGGCCCACAATTATTTTTTTCTGATTATTTATTTTTTCTATACTTAGTATACGGGGTCTTATTTCATATCTAGAACTAGTAGGTGGTTGAACTCTGGCGTCATTGAGATCATTCCATCCATTATCTAGTGAGAATTGAAATATGCACTTCACGTGATCTTTTTTTGCTGAACCAATTAAGCGAAGACAGAAATTTCGACCAGGTAAACCCCTATCAATAAACTTACCATATTTTTCTCCTGTTAATTTATATACCAATTCTGTAAATTCTTTGAGTTCTAGATAATCAATAAGAAGAGTTGGAGCGTATAGGAGGTGATAACTGCATTTGCTAGAGTCGGATGATGTAGCAATTACCAGTCCTTTGAGAATTTCTTCCCAACTGCAATCAAGAATTCGATATAATGCTCTTATAAATGAACAACAAATACGAATGAATACATCTCTTGTGTTGACCTTTTCTGATCTCATTTTTTCACTAGAGGCGTCGATATCAATCACAGGTCTTAGTGGTCGTTGTCCATTAATACATTCATGTATCCCAGGTAAACCATATACTTCGGAAATACCATCTATAACTGAGAATTTTTTGTACTCACCTTGTTCTACTTGAATAACCAATCTATTAGTTAATTCATCTCTTTTATACGCATCGTATAAACTAATTCCGCTCTTTGCTTCATGATTAGGTAAGAGATAATCCCATAAATATACATCTTCCAGTGAACCTTTTTTATCTAACAAATCTCTGGCAGGTGAGGAAGCGATTTCACGAATTTTATTTAGCAAACCCTTTGAGGTAAATTTATCATCGAATTTTTCTTGTCTCTTAGTGAAAGCAGTCTTGGTGGAACCAGGATATATGGGGCTCACTTGATCTGTAGAATTTGTCGAATTAGACATTTGTTTTTCTATATTAGGGGGTTGGGATATTGGTGACTTAATAGTACTTGTTTCGGTATCTGATTCATAGTCGGAACCATAGTCACTGCAATTCTCTGATCCACTTTCGGATATATTATCACTATAAACATCTGAGTCACTTGAATAGTCATCGGTTTCCCCGCCCCCGTACCCGATCACTTGTGCATTTTGTTTGCTCATTTTTTATTGGTATGTTTCAATCTTTGTTCGATTATATTATTACAATATAGTTTGGAAAAGTTTAAATTAATTTTTTCGGTCGGTACATAACGATATCAAAAAAAATGAGAGTCGGATGATGTAGCAATTACCAGTCCTTTGAGAATTTCTTCCCAACTGCAATCAAGAATTCGATATAATGCTCTTATAAATGAACAACAAATACGAATGAATACATCTCTTGTGTTGACCTTTTCTGATCTCATTTTTTCACTAGAGGCGTCGATATCAATCACAGGTCTTAGTGGTCGTTGTCCATTAATACATTCATGTATCCCAGGTAAACCATATACTTCGGAAATACCATCTATAACTGAGAATTTTTTGTACTCACCTTGTTCTACTTGAATAACCAATCTATTAGTTAATTCATCTCTTTTATACGCATCGTATAAACTAATTCCGCTCTTTGCTTCATGATTAGGTAAGAGATAATCCCATAAATATACATCTTCCAGTGAACCTTTTTTATCTAACAAATCTCTGGCAGGTGAGGAAGCGATTTCACGAATTTTATTTAGCAAACCCTTTGAGGTAAATTTATCATCGAATTTTTCTTGTCTCTTAGTGAAAGCAGTCTTGGTGAAACCAGGATATATGGAGCTCACTTGATCTGTAGAATTTGTCGAATTAGACATTTGATTTTCTATATTAGGGGGTTGGGATATTGGTGACTTAATAGTACTTGTTTCGGTATCTGATTCATAGTCGGAACCATAGTCACTGCAATTCTCTGATCCACTTTCGGATATATTATCACTATAAACATCTGAGTCACTTGAATAGTCATCGGTTTCCCCACCCCCGTACCTGATCACTTGTGTGTTTTGTTTGCTCATTTTTGGTATTTGGTTTTTTTATTGGTATGTTTCAATCTTTGTTCGATTATTTTATTAGAATATAGTTTGGAAAAGTTTAAATTATTTTTTCGGTCGGTGATATCAAAAAATGCATCGTTTTTAGTCGAATGGACAACAAAAATCGTGAACTCGATAGATAAATATTTTTGGGCCTAGGTGTAGTAACCTGCAGTAATATATTATGAGAATTATGGCAGATTACTACACTTTTTAATGTCATGTTTTCGGGTATGTATTCAGGGTGGGTAAGTGCGGTAGTATATTATAAGAAAAACGGCAGAAGCCTACCTGTTCAATGGTATGTTATGGGTATATACTCCGGGTATGCTTTCGGGGTAGGTAAGTGCGGTAATATATTATAAGAATTATGGCAGAAACCTACCCATTTCGATGGTATGTTTTAGGGTAGGTAACTTCGGTAATATATTATAATAAAAATAGAAGAAGCCTACCCGTTTCAATGGTATGTTTTTGGATATGTTTTCGGGTATATATTTGATGACATGCTTTTGGGGTAGGTAAGTGCGGTAATATATTATAAGAATTATGGCAGAAACCTACCCATTTAATGATATGTTTTCGGGTATGCTTTTGGGGTAGGTAACTTCAGATTTATTTATAGTTATATATCCACCTTCTTACATATATCACGAATGAAATCGAGTTAGATAACATGTTTTTAACATAGGCGAAATTGGAACATATTTCTAATGTTAACTAATGTCAAAAATTCTGGCAATCGAAATTGGTATACATATTTGGTTGCATTAATCGATAGCATAACCAGATAGTGTGTATATAGTATATGCAATAGCAATTAGATAGCGTTAATTGATAGCAAATACGCCACCTTGGTGCGTGTCATAAAAAGCAAAATGCACGTCACTCGAGCCGTGACCTAAAATGCAAAACGCACGTTATACCGACGCATGACTCAGCGGTTCTCAATCGGCAATATTAAATTTAGGATTCTAAAGGAAATAGAACTCAATATACAGTGCGGATCATCTATACTCAAAAGTCAAAATTTTTGAAATATTATGTGATCCACACATTAGATTTTAAAAAACTTACCACCATTCAATTCAGCTTTAAAAGGG